AATATTACGCTGTCTATATCTTTTAGCAACGATATTCAATAAATTCAGTCCTGCAATTGTTCGATCCGCTGCGACTAATTATTTAATTGTAACTAGACTTACTTCAATACAGCTAGGTGGCTGCTCCCCTGACATCATCAGCTGCTACCCGGTCATCCTCGGAGGTTTCGCCCCTCAAGCAGGACCTCCTCCGTCCGGTGGGCGACAGTACTGGCCAGGTACTGCCTGTCAGGGGGTTGTTGGTTTCCACTTGCTCTGTCTGTTTCTCCACACCCAGCGTGATGCCCACTTCTGCTGTCTCTGCCATCTTCGAGACCGTATCTCGTCGTTGTTTCCCCACTATTCCTAGCGTCCCTAGCGCTCTCCAGGCTGACTGCGCCACAAATCCTCTGCATCCTATCTCTATGGGAAAACACCACGATCTCCACCCTTTCTCTACACAGTCCTGCAGTAGGTTTTTGGTACTTCAAGGCCTTCCTTTCATACGCCTCCTCTAATTCTCTCCTCCCACGGGACAGTTAGCTCCACTAGGACTATCTGCTTTGTCTGAGTAGACCACAGCACTACATCCGGTTTCAGGTTTGTGCTGGATATCTCCTCTGGGAATACCAGTCTCCTGTCTAAGTCGACTCTGAGATTCCAGTCACTAGCTGTGGGCAGGATGCCTCTCTCTCTGTCTTTAGTACCTGTCTTCCTCTTCTCTCCTTCTCCTTCTCTGACAAACCCTATGAACTTCGGCCCTTTCCTGTTCTTCCCTCTCTTCTTGGTTCTCTCCTCCTCAAGTGTGCATGCCAGCACTCTCAGTACCTGGTCATGTCTCCATCTATATCGCCCCTGACCTAAGGCGATCGGGCAGCTTGACAGAACATGGCTTAGCGTTCCTCTCCTCTCACATAGCTGACACTTCTCCTCCTTCTCCTTCCCCCATCTCTTCAGGTTCACTGGAGTGGGTAAGAGGTCGTAAACTGATCTGAGGAGGAATTGGATTCTCAGTGGTTCACACTTCCACAGGTCACTCCACTTCACACATCTACTTCTCACTCCCTCCCACTTAGTCCAGGCGCCCTGCACTCCTTGGCTCACAGCTAGTGATTTCCTTCCTTCCTCCTCCTTCCTTCTTACTTCCCTCTGTACCATGTCCCTTCTTTCCTTAGGGCCCGCCGTGCCCCATCTCTGGCTTGCCACCTTCCCTGCACCTAGTCCTAGTCTGCCTTGTGCCACGACGCCAACTATATCACTGTGCCTGAGTCTACTCTTCGCTTCATCCACTGCCTTATCCACAGCCCACTTCCGACCTGATCTCAGCTGTATTCCTGCTTGACTGACTCTCGGATCTCTGCTTCCTTCTAGGGTCAGTAGGGCTCTTGCCTTTCCTACCTTGAACTCTTCAGTCATCGCGGTTATTGGTAGTTGCAGCTTCGCCGATGTGCTGTACAATCCTACACTGGTAAAACTTGGCGGCACCCCCAGCCACTTCCTTAATCTGCTGTTCACCTTCCTTTCCATTTCTTCTACTGTACTCAGGGGGATTTCATACATCATCATGGGCCACGCTATCCTTGGGAGTAATCCATACTGGTAGATCCACACCTTAAACTTCCCTGGTAGGTCACTGTCTTCTATGGCTTGGAGGCCCTTCACTACTTGTTGTTTGAAGTCTTTACAGTTCTCTCTATCTCCTAGTGAAGCATCAAACTTCTTCCCCAAACTCTTTATCGGCTGTTCTGAGACAGAAGGGATGTCCTCACCCTGGATCTTGAGCTGTAGTCTATCACTCAGTTTCCCCTTTCTCATGACTAGCTTCCTGCACTTCCTGGCCTTGAACTTCAGTCTTGCCCATGTCGCTGTCTTATCCAGACTTTTCAGCATCCACCTAGCACTCAGCACGCTCTCTGTCGTTATGGTCAGGTCGTCCATAAAGGCTTTCAGGGGAGGTTGTCTTAGCCCTGCCCTCGTCATTGGACCTCTGCTCTGCTCTGTTGCGGGCTTGATCACCAGGTTCATCGCAGCTATGAAAAGAGTCACCGAGATAGTACATCCTGTTACTATGCCTCGTTCCAGACGCTGCCAGTCTGTTGTGGTTCCATTTACTGTGAATCTGAGTTTCAGCCCATTCATATATTGGTTTATGATCTGACGTGGGTGTTCTGGTACGTGGTACTTCTCCAATGCTGTTTTGATTAGTTGGTGGGGGACGGAGCCATAAGCATTCTCCAGATCTAACCAGACCACTGCCAAGTCCCCTTTTCCTGATTTAGCCTCTTGGATAAGCTGCGTTATTACGGCCGTGTGTTCCAGGCATCCTGAATACCCTGGCACTCCACCTTTCTGCACTGCGGTATCAATGTAGGCATTCTTCAGCATAAAGTCTTGCAACCTCCTTGCTAGGATAGCAAAGAAGATCTTACTCTCTACAGACAGCAAAGATATTGTCCGGAATTGCTCTATCCTCTCTGCATTTTCCTGTTTGGCACAGAACAATCCCTCCGCCTTTTTCCAGCTTTCTGGTATTTTCTTCTTTCTCCACACCACCTTAAGTAGTTTCCAGAGTCTTCTTGCTAGCTTTGGGCACTTCTTGTATACTTTATAAGGAATGCCACTTGGACCGGGAGCTGAACCTGCCCTTGCTTTCTTGATCACCTCTTTCACCTCTGCTAATCTAATCTCGCTGCAGTCCATCTCATGTGTTGGTTGCTCTGGGTCTGGCAGGCCGTCCAGATCCCCTAGTGGTTTTTCTCTGTTGTCATCTCCATGTGTTTTCCTAAGATGGGCCTCAATATCTTCCTTGCTGCATGTCAACTTCCCACTCGTTTTTGCGCCTAGTAACTTCTTGGTGAAACCAAAGGGGTTGGATATGAACGCCGATCGTTTTCTCTGCCTTTCTCTTCTCTTTGCCCTTGACCTTTCAGCTTTACTCAGGCTTTTTAATCTTCCTCTGAGATCTTCCCTTAGCTTCTTTAGCGCTTCTCTTTCCGTTTGATCTGCTTCCTTCCATCTCTTCCTCAGGGTTCTCAAATCTTTCCTGATCTGCTGTCTTTCCCTTTCTCTCCGGTTTGTTCGTTCTTTCTGCTGACCTTTCTTGCCTGCTTCTTTCTTTCCAAAGCGTTCTGCACCTACGTTGTACACAATCCCCACCATTGCGTCAAGTTTCTTTTCTGCATTCCCTGCTAACACACTCTCCAGGATTCCCTCGAGATCGTCGTCTAGTTGCTCCCAATCTTTTTCTGCGTTGCTCGCGGGCCACTTAACCTGACTTTTCCTGGGTTCATTTTCAGCTCCCCCTCTCACTTCTTCTACAGGGTTGATCATCGCTGGGTTTGGATCTTCGACTTGAGTTTCTGCCCGCAGCTGACCCCTTGCTTGGTGTTCCTGAGGACTGTGGTTTTCTTCCTGCCTCTGGCCCACCGTCGTCTTACCAAGCATGCTTGTACGATGCTCAGGGTCCTTAGGGCATCCCATCTTAGTCTGGTGAATCTTGAGTCCCCTTAAGTTCTTACAGACCTTTCCACAGCTGCATGTTTCTGTCTTTGCCCCTCCTTCTAGGCCAGATCGTATCCGTAAAGGTCGAGGTTGTTGCCTGTTCGTCACCGTCAGGTCCGTCCGTTCAGGGCTCTCTTCCGCCCCCCCTCTCGGGAGCCCCTGGGGGTGTTTTCCTCTTTGTGTACTTGTTGCAATGTAGTGAGTGCCATCGTTCTGGCTGCAAGGGTAGGCTGCCAACCTTCTTGCCTCGTACCAGTCTTTCCTGATCGTCATTGGTCTTTCCCATCGTCACCCCACTGTTCAGGGTTGTCATCCAGTCTTTCCTGGTTGTCACTGAATTCCTTCAGGAGGTTGACTTACTTCAATACAGCTAGGTGGCTGCTCCCCTGACATCATCAGCTGCTACCCGGTCATCCTCGGAGGTTTCGCCCCTCAAGCAGGACCTCCTCCGTCCGGTGGGGCGACAGTACTGGCCAGGTACTGCCTGTCAGGGGGTTGTTGGTTTCCACTTGCTCTGTCTGTTTCTCCACACCCAGCGTGATGCCACTTCTGCTGTCTCTGCCATCTTCGAGACCGTATCTCGTCGTTGTTTCCCCACTATTCCTAGCGTCCCTAGCGCTCTCCAGGCTGACTGCGCCACAAATCCTCTGCATCCTATCTCTATGGGAAAACACCACGATCTCCACCCTTTCTCTACACAGTCCTGCAGTAGGTTTTGGTACTTCAAGGCCTTCCTTTCATACGCCTCCTCTATTCTCTCCTCCCACGGGACAGTTAGCTCCACTAGGACTATCTGCTTTGTCTGAGTAGACCACAGCACTACATCCGGTTTCAGGTTTGTGCTGGATATCTCCTCTGGGAATACCAGTCTCCTGTCTAAGTCGACTCTGAGATTCCAGTCACTAGCTGTGGGCAGGATGCCTCTCTCTCTGTCTTTAGTACCTGTCTTCCTCTTCTCTCCTTCTCCTTCTCTGACAAACCCTATGAACTTCGGCCCTTTCCTGTTCTTCCCTCTCTTCTTGGTTCTCTCCTCCTCAAGTGTGCATGCCAGCACTCTCAGTACCTGGTCATGTCTCCATCTATATCGCCCCTGACCTAAGGCGATCGGGCAGCTTGACAGAACATGGCTTAGCGTTCCTCTCCTCTCACATAGCTGACACTTCTCCTCCTTCTCCTTCCCCCATCTCTTCAGGTTCACTGGAGTGGGTAAGAGGTCGTAAACTGATCTGAGGAGGAATTGGATTCTCAGTGGTTCACACTTCCACAGGTCACTCCACTTCACACATCTACTTCTCACTCCCTCCCACTTAGTCCAGGCGCCCTGCACTCCTTGGCTCACAGCTAGTGATTTCCTTCCTTCCTCCTCCTTCCTTCTTACTTCCCTCTGTACCATGTCCCTTCTTTCCTTAGGGCCCGCCGTGCCCCATCTCTGGCTTGCCACCTTCCCTGCACCTAGTCCTAGTCTGCCTTGTGCCACGACGCCAACTATATCACTGTGCCTGAGTCTACTCTTCGCTTCATCCACTGCCTTATCCACAGCCCACTTCCGACCTGATCTCAGCTGTATTCCTGCTTGACTGACTCTCGGATCTCTGCTTCCTTCTAGGGTCAGTAGGGCTCTTGCCTTTCCTACCTTGAACTCTTCAGTCATCGCGGTTATTGGTAGTTGCAGCTTCGCCGATGTGCTGTACAATCCTACACTGGTAAAACTTGGCGGCACCCCCAGCCAGATATTGTACATTGCCAAGAATAATGTGTGCTTGTATCTAATTAGACATGTTGTTGTGTTTTACCTATCCCGAACACTTTTTAAAATATATATGATAATTATAACATGATAATAGAGTTAAACATTTTCGAAACATCACTGTATTTACCGAAGTGGGATTAGCCCATCTTGCAGGGCTGTTTGTAATGGTCAGAGTCCTAAATCTATTTCGACTTTGCTTGACTTACGCGTTTTTTATTGTTGTTACTCCGTGAATAAAGTATACCTCCTGAAGGAGAATTGTGGTTAGACGGTTTTCGTGCTCGCAGT